TTGAAAGTGGTAGAATATAGCCTTGAACACAAAAACTCAAGGAAAACGCTTAGGTCTTGAGTTCAGGCCCTAGTACGTACACACACACGTACACGTACATGTGTACACACACACACACACACACACACACACACACACACACACACACACACACACACACGCGCGCAGGAAGGAAGGAGAAAAGAGACTGGGAATGATGGTACATGCCGGTAATTTCTCAGAAGTCAGACATTAGGAGGATATCAGTTTAAAGATAAAAAGTTAGCAAGATCCCGATCTCAACAAACAAGCTGGCATAAGGTACATGCCTGTAATCTCAGGTACAAAGGAGAAGGTAAGTAGGAAGATCTATCTAAGTCTGAAGTTAAATGAGCAGTAGCTTGAGACTATCTGAAAACCGTGCTAGGGGCATGGTTTAAGTGGTAGACCTCCCAGTTGTGAATTCAAATTCCAGTATTCCACCAAAAAGAGAGAAAGTGAACAGATAACTCACAGGCCTGGAGAAAAGCATTAACAATTCTGTATATGCTAAGACTTGAATCTGTCACAATACCAAATTAGCTAACTTCCTGTATCCTACTTTGGGGTCTTAAAAAGCAGTATTTCCTACAAAGGAACTAACTTTACTAACCTGTCAATAAGTCCTCCAACGTGGATATTACAATTTATATTTCCACCTGTACTAGGTGGAAGTTCTTTCTTCCTTTTTCTCAACATGTGATTTCACTTTAAACTTTATATCCTTGCAATTTTAAAGTGAATAAACAGTTACTTACGGCTTATTATATGCCTGGTACTAAAGGTATTACAAATAGTTAATTTACATCTCACAACATCTCACAACATTTCAATAAAAGACAGGCACTATGGTTATCCTTATTTATATACAATATAAAAGCACAGATGATAAACAGACTTGCTCAAAGGTGGAATTCAATCCCAGTCTGGGGCTGAAAGCATGGACCAAGAGGTAGAATGCTTGCTTGCTAGAACATGCAAGGCCCTAAATCATCAACATGAAAACACAGACAAATGAACCAAAACAACAACAACAACATCAAAAATCACCCAAATAACAATAATGAAAAAACCTAGCCAGATGCTGGTGGCTCAGACCTGTAATCTTAACTTTTCAGAAGGCTGAGATCCAGAGAATTGCAGTTTGAAGCCAGTCCAGGCAGAAAGTTTGCAAGACTCTATCTCCAAAATAACCAGCAAAAAAAAGCAGAGCTGGAGGTATGGCAAGTGGTAGAGTGTCAGCTGAGCAAGCAAGCTGAACAATCACAAGGTCGGGAGTTCAAATACAGATACCACCAAAAAAAGGTCTGGTTCCAGAATACATGTTCTTTCAGATTATGCAATGCTGCCTCCCTCCCACCTCTTACCCCTGCCCTCTTTTTGTGTGAGGTTTGATCTCAAGGTAGTCACGTGCTCTACCACTGAGCCATCCCTCCATCTCTGCCTCTATTACTTAAAAAAATTGTGTTTTTACCACAGCTTAGCTACTTGATTAAACTGGCATAAAGATTAATTTATAAAAAGATGATCACAGCAAAATTTAAAAGACAGTGAAAAATACTAATAAAACTTCTAAAAGTTATACATTAGAAAAATCATTTAACAATTCAATTATTTATCAGGTACTTACTATGTGAGAGAAAGATGATGCAGGTAATGAGGACACAGTAGTGTTTTTTTTTGTTTGTTTGTTTTCCCCAAAATTCTTATGCTGAGGTTTAACTACCAAAGTGGCTTTATTACAATTGGAGGAGGTAATAAAGGTAGGGGTTCTGATTCAATAGGATCAGTGTCTTTAGAAAAAGGAAAACCAGAGAACTTTATTAGCTTCTCTCTCTCTCTCTCATGTGTGCGCACACACGCGCGCGCGCACACACATACACACAAAGGAAAGGCTATGTTAAGACACAAGTAGAAAGTGGGTCAGGAAAGAAACTCTCACTTGAAACTGAAAGGGCCAGTACTCTGAATAGATTTTCATCCTCTAAAATTATGAGAAAATAAATATGTGTTAGTTAAGACTTCCAGTCTATGGCATTTTGTTTCAGTATCTGAGCATACTATATAAGCAGTAAAAGTAAGTCCTCATGGAGATCAGCCTCTCATATAGACAATATGTAAATAAAGATGTTTTATAAATTTGACTAGTAATTGGCATAAGAAACTAGTAAAAGAAACTAGTGTGAAATTTATTTTTTATTTTATTTTTTTAAATAAGAGTAGTTAGAAATTGCTGGAGTTTGTTTGTGTTTTTTGGAACCAGTACTAGGTCTTGAACTCAGGCTTCATACTCACTTGGTTTTTTTCACTCAAAGCTGACCCTCTACTACTTGAGCCACATATTCATTTCTAGCTTTTCTTTTACTGGTATGGTTGTTAACTGGAGATGAGTCTTACAGACTTTCTTGAGGATTCTGGTCCTCAGATCTCAGCTTTCTGAGAAGCTAGGATTATAGGCAAGAACCACCTGAGGTATCTCCTAAGGCAATAACTTGAATAAAGTGAAGAAAGAAGTAAGCTTGGTAGAAATCTGTGAGAAGTGCAAGAAAGTACAAATAAAAATCCTAAAGCAGAAAAAGTTTGGCTTGCTTAAGAAAAAGAAAACAGGTCAATGTTATTGAATGGTGTGATCAAACAAGGTAAGGAGAATGGTGATAGTTCAAATGATAGAAACTGTGTTGAGTAGTTCAGACTTTGTTCCAAACAAGAGAAGAAAGTATTAGGAGGAATTTGAGCAGCCAGGTGATATGTTATGATTTACATTTAAATTAACTTCAAAGATTCAGAGTGCATATATAGTGTAAACATAATCTGTACATACAAAGTCTTAACATAAAACAACTAAAATAAGCAAACTCCACTTTTTTTTTTTTTTTTTGTCGGCCATGGGGCTTGAACTCTGGGCCTGGGCGCTGTCCCTCAGCTCTTCAGCTCAAGGCGAGCGCTCTACCACTTGAGCTACAGCGCCACTTCCAGTTTTCTGGTGGTTTATTGGAGATAGGAGTCTCACGGTCTCTCCTGCCCGGGCTGGCTTTGAACCGCGATCCTCAGATCTCAGCCTCCTGAGTAGCTAGGATTACAGGCGTGAGCCACCAGCGCGCCCGGCCAAACTCCACTTTTTTATTCATTCCAAAGGACCTTGTAGTTCTAACTGGACTAGAACAGATAGGTTAGCAAATAGAAAATTCTATAGAAAATTCTAGAAAAAAGCTTTAGTAATTTGAACTGTAACATATTTAAAAAATAGAACATCAAACATATATATATTTTTTGCCAATTCTGAAGCTTGAACTTAGGGCCTGGGCACTGCCCCTGAGCTTCTTTTGTTCAAGGCTAGCACTCTACCATTTGAGACACAGCGCCTCTTCCATCTTTTTCTGTTTATGTGGTACTGAGGAATTAAACCCAGGGCTTCATGCATATGAGGCAAGCATTCTACCATTATGCCACATTCCCTGCCCCAAAAATATTCTTAAAGTCTAAAATGAGTTACTGAAGTAGGCTGGGCCCTATTATACAGCTATCTACAGACCCGAATGACTTTTAGAGATCATACTCTTTAATTTCCTCCATCATTCAGAGAAAGTATTATAAATGGCCCTAAATATCTACCCCCATCAGGCAGAGTGTAGTTTACTGATTAGTTTATACAGACTCTCAAAACTGTAGATGTCCTCCATTTACCCAAGCAAAGGAGAAGCAAAACAAACAAACAACAACAAAAAAACCCCCAAACTTTAACCCTTTTATGACCTCAAGCCTATTTTCTCTTCTTTGTGTATGTGTGTTTTTTAATGATACTGGGCTTTGACACAAGCTTATTCTGCTGATGCTCTACCACTTGAGCCATGCTTCCAGTCCAGCTTTTTGCTAGTTATTTTGAGTCAGACTTTTGAGGTCTTTTAGGCCAGGACTGGCCTAGAACCCTGATTCTTCATATCTCAGCCTCACAAATACCTAGGATTACAGGTATGAGCCACCAGTGCCACTTCTTAGCTGTAGAATATATTCTAATCCACAAAAGTTAGACACAGATACAGGAAATGAGGTACAGAGGTCAGGACTATCTATAAGGTAAACACAAGCCCTGAATTCTGACACTGTCAGTAGACTTAGTCTAGCTCCAAAAGAAGATAACAGCTGAATATCCTCATAATAAAAATACAACTGGATTATACAATGCTATTATGACACTAACAATGCTGGGGAAAAATTCCTTATAATTAGGCAAATATGCAATTGAGTAGAGTAGGCTACTAATTTTAATCATGCAAACTCTCAAGAAGCTTAGATGCAGAGCTGTCTACCATACCCCTCTAGCCATTACCTAAGAGACAGAGATATGTAGTCAGGCAGAACTGATTGGCTGGGAGAACTTTTTAAAAAGTGCCAGCAAGTTTCAGGCAATGTATTTGAGTATGCCAAAATTTTTCATAAAAGGAGACAATACATATGAAAATTTTAACTCACAGTAGTTCAAATATATATATATTTTGTTCCAGAATAAAGACCAGCAAAAAAGCTGTTCAGTACCGAAAATGCTGCACAAAAAATAATTTTAAATATATTTCCATTACACTCTTTATTATGAGTAGGAAAAGTAGTTATCTTGAAACATAATTCCTTTATTTCCTAAGGAAAAAAAATTATGGAAGATTTTGCAAAAGATGGCCCTGTTCCAAGCTGCAATAATGGTTAAATGATGGGAAGGGGTGAGTCATTCAAATATCCTTCCTTCCTTCCTTCCTTCCTTCCTTCCTTCTTTCCTTCCTTCCTCCTTCCATGCTAACTACCAACAGAAACTGTTAACAGAAAACAGGCACACGTAGGTGAGGTAACACCAAACACAATAGTTGTTTAATAGTATCAGGAAACACACAGTTCAGCGTATTGTGGGAAGGTAGTAGGTTTCAGAACTGAGTTTTGTGTCATTATAATTTTTGAATTTTACATCAAGGTAATCACAAGTAAAATTTACTTACTTTAGCAATCTGCAGCAACACAATGCAGTGTTTAATTGATTCTACCATGCTCTATGAAAACAAAACACTGGTTTTAGGATCTTGTAAATAGAATGTTTACAATGATGTTAAAGTTTAAAATTAAATGTTAAAGATTAAAGATCAGTTTAAATGTACAAGGGGAACTCTAACACTACACCAATACTCTTCTGGATATCCATGACTTCTAATATGCTGCTGGTATCAAATGAAGTTATTCACTGGCAATTTTATGATCTACTAAGGAATGACAGAATATGGTTTACACTGAGTCATAAATTTTAGCACCACAAAAAGAAAGAGATGTCATGATTAACTTTCAAATTCTTAGATTAATAGTAGCAACCCCAATGTCAATTCCAAGGCATTCATGAAAGTGTAGAGAGCAAAAGATTCTGTCAAAATATTAAGAAACCTGAGATACTATCACACCTATTTTTAAAATGGCTTTTTCAAGATACAATCTCATTGATAGTCTTAAATATTGTCAGAAGGCCAGTAAATGAAGAAATCTGAATCAGTGTATACTTTATAGAATAAACAATCTAGTCTAAAAACTCCAAAATCCAAAATCTGCAGCTGACTTGGTGCAACAAGTGAAAAACTCTGTATCTTACAGGAAGGGTGGAGTCAAAACACAGATACATAGAAAGTGAGATATAAAACTATCTTCAGGCTACGTGGTTAAAGCATATACAAAACACAGATGAAAGTTTAGACTCGGTCTTATCTTCCAGATTAGGGTCCCATCTCCTATTACATGTGCGCAAATATAACAAAATCCAAAAATATTCAAAATTAGAAATACTTCTGGTCACAAACATTTCAGATAAGGGACACTTAACCTGCATTTGTACATGCAGAATATCTTTTATCCAAGAATCTCACAAACAAGACAGAAATAGTTTAAATGGTATAAGAAGTTAATTTCAACTACAGGGGTTATTAGTTTTTCTTTTGACAGTGATATAATTCTTAAACACCTCTATAAAAATCCATAAAAAGTTAAAGCCTCAGTTGTTCTTATCAACAGTAGCTTAAAATACATTTTACAACAGCTTATCAAGTACATGACTTACATTTGTTGTCTCTTTGAGAGTTTCAATTTTCTGTGAGAAAAGTAAGTTTAAACAGAAATAATGAGAAGCACAAATAAATAGTCATTGTTTTAAAGTAATTAGTCATTTTAAGAATTTTACCAGCTGGGGGCTGGTGGCTCATGCTTATAATGCTAGCTTCTTAGGAGGCCAAAATCTGAGGTTTGAAGCCAGCCAGGACAGACAAATCAGAAAGATTTAGCTCTAATTAACCAGCAAAAAGCTGGAAGTAAGAGTGTGGCTCAAGTGGCAGAAAACTACTCAAGTGAAAAAGCTAAGCAGGAGACCAGTATTGGCCCATACACAAAAGAGAAGAATTTGACCAGAATGTACTTATCCCTAAGTGTAAGTTGGGGGAGAAAGTATATTTTGTTGTGTTTTTAATATAAATCAAGTGCTGGGAGAAAAAAAAAAAAAAAAACCTCCAAAAATTTTATAAATTAAAAGCTCTTAAAAATGCATACAATTGAAAATTTCTAAGAATATAAACATGAATCCTTTCCTGAAAATGGGCTTTTTGTTTTCTAAAGACTTCATTATGTGATTTTATATTTTAGCAGTACTGAGGATTCAACTCAGGAGCTGCACTCATTAAGCAGGCACTCTACTATGTTGAGCCGCATCCACAAACTTTCCTAGGTAAATTCTCATTTCATGTTTAAGGCAGCCTGGGCTTCTTGTGTTATTAGAGAGGACAGGCAAGTATCACTGTTGATAGCCATGTGCTTCCATACTGTTGGGTTAACAGGCATGCACCACCATACCCAGTCATGATTGAGATGGAATCTGGCAAACTTTTTTATGCCTGGGCTGGCCTGGAAACACAATCTTCAGATCTTGGCCTCCCAAGTTGCTAGGATTAAAGTTTGAGCTACTGTACCCAGCCAATTATGTGATTTTAATTTTTTTTTTCAGAATCACCTTAATCTTTCTTGGAATGTTTTTAAAATGATCTGAGACTGAATTCCCAAACTAAGAACAGAGGTTAAGTTAGAACATGTATTTCTACTATTGGTATATATAAAAGAGCCACATGTAAGACTATAGACAACAGATTATGGAAAAAAATGCTGCAACAGGAAATTTGGCCAAGAAGAGGGTAAAGGTTCATCAGAAAATGAAAATAATATGCAAACTACAAAACAGACACCAGAAATTCAAGAAAGGGAACAGGAAGTATGGCAACATGAATGAAAATCTCAGAGAGAGCATGAGGCCCTGAGTTCAATCTCTGGAAATGGCCACAAAAAAAGAAATCCAAAGAGGGAAATCAGTAGTAGAACTATAACTAAAGCACCACTGGTTTTCTTCCATGTTACTACTTTTTTTTCTTCAAATTATTTTCTATTGGTTCACTAATACCTGAAGTGATCACATGAAATTTAATAAAAATAAATTTGTACTTAAAACATTATATGTGGAATGGAAAAGAACTTACTCTAATATATGTGGCACTTATAAATAACTATAATAAAATATTGCATATTATTTTAAGTATAACATTATATGAGAAATGCACCAGAAAAGTATACATAACATTACTATTATAACAGATCAATAATACTATTTGGGGAAGTTTTTTCCCCCTCACCCCCACATAGTTCTTGCTATTTAGCCCAGGCTGGAATCAAACTCACAATCCTAACTCATGCCCAATGCTGAGATTATAACCAATGCTGGGATTATAGAAGTGTACTATCATACTATCATGTTGGCTTCAACAATGCTATTTTACTAGTAAAACTACTGACATACTTCTGTTATTTCCAAAAAGGCTATTAGATTTGAAATTTTAAAGTAAAAAACAAACATGATTATAGAAGTTACCTTTCTTTGTTCATCATCTTTACAGTTTTGAAGCTTGTCATCAAAAAGCTACAGGATTTAAAGAAATGGTTATAGTATCAAGCTAGTGTATTGCTGTGTTATTTACTAAACAGAAAAAAAATCAAGCAGTTCTTAATTGTATTTTTTATATGCATATGAATTTTTAAAATAGTATATTTTTTCAGGGTACTATATCAAGTTATATTTACTCTGTGGATGACTACAAACACAATCACTTTGAGCAACAAAATCACATGAGTTTTAAAGACTTAGAATAACCATTAGATTCAAGCCTTTTCTGCTTTGTCTTCCAAGTTTGTCAACATGCCTTCCTCTCTCCAGGACCTTGCATTTAAGTCTTTTTAAAGCAGAAACTGAAGGAGACAACTTATTTTCGCAGTGCTAAAGAAAGTAGACAGGGTACTTCCAGTATACTGTTCTCCAAAAATAGAACTTAAGACAAAAAGACTTTAATAGTCAAAGCTACTAAAAATTACCACTTTCATATTTGTGACTATAAATCTAATCTATTTATTTCTAGATAGTTACCTTTGCCTCAGTGACCAAAATTTAGGTAAATATGTTATTTACCAATATACTTAAAGCTCCTTGAGTAAATCAGTGTTAAAAAAAACTACTTTTAAAAAACCAGTTTTAAACCAGTTTTAAAAACTGGTGAAGAACCACATTAATTATCAAAACTCAAATCAGGTTCAATGTTTCCTACATTGTGTCAATTCAATATATAAACTAAAACATACCTTTAATTGTTCTATCAATATCTGTAGGTAAGCATCAGCCTCTGTAAGTTTCTTATCAAAGTCTTGAACACTAGGAACAAATCCCGAATCCAAACCCTAGAGAAAGAGAAAATCTGCAATAAATCTAGCTCTCTTCAAGCAACAGTTAATGGTACAAAAAATAATTCAGCCACCATACATGAAGGCATTTTCATTTTCAAATAGAAATAGTACTTTTATACAAATGAGTTTAAAATTATCTCTAAGAATAATATCCTTTATCAGCCTTAAGCATTACTCTCTTCTTGCCCATTACAATGTGCCTACATATGTTACCCCGTTAACTCCTATTTTTTTGTTCAGTTTACTCTTCTACTCCTTGAATCTTAACTTCACATTCTCATGGTTAGGTTCTATTCCTTAACCCACTCTATCAATTCTGAAGTTTTTCTGCCTTTTTTCTTATTGAAAAAAAAAAGAAAAGAAAAAAAAAAAGAAAGGGGAAAAAGAAGTCAGGTATGGTGGCACATATCTGTCAGATTCTCAGTATTTGGGAAGATGAAGCAGAAGGATTATTATGAGGGCAAGAAAAAAAAAAAAGCTGATCTTTTCTCCAATTAAGCACCAAAAAGTCAGAAATGAAGCTGTGACTCAAGAATCACTTGAGTGCTAGCTTTGAGCAACAACAACAACAAAGCCTCAGGGAAAAGGAAATGAACTTGGCACAAACACTAAACTCTGGACAAACTATAAATATTTATCTAGATCTAGAAGCCTTATTTCTCAGTTTAAAAGTCCATCATTAGGGCTGGGAAGGTGGCTCAGTGGTAGAGTGCTTGCCTCACATGCATGAGGCCATCACCACATAAGCAGAAAAAGCCAGAAGTGGGTGCTGTGGCTCAAGGGATAGAGCGCTAGTCTTGAGCTGAAGAGCTGAGAGACAGCGCCCAGGCCCAGAGTTTAAGCTCCATGATCGGACAAAAAAAAAAAGGTCCATCATTGGTACATCCTTCCTATTTTTATATGCCTAAATCTTAAGTTCCAAGAAAGAATGAATACGCTTCCTATGTTTTTACTTTACTTAAAATTAACTGAGTTCTTGTCTGGCTGAAAAACAAATCAATCTTAGACATAAAAGACAAATAGCTGTAGAAAATTAGACTAACACCTTGTATGTCTTCATGCCCAGTTTTCACAGTTAGGCAGAGAAATAAAGGCAGTGAATTATGACTGTAAGAATCCCAATTAAACTGGGCGCCAGTGACTCACGCCTATGTAATCCTAGCTACTCAGGAGGCTGAGATCTGAGCATCGCGGTTCAAAGCCAGCCCAGGCAGAAAAGTCCATGAGACTCTTTTTCCAATAAACCACCAGAAAACAGAATGTGGCACTGTAGCTCAAGTGGTAGAGCGCTAGCCTTGAGCTGAAGAGCTGAGGGACAGCGCCCAGGCCCAGAGTTCAAGCCCCACAATGGACAAAAATTTAAAAAAAAAAAAAAATCCCAACTTAACCACAAATTGCCCATTTTCATATTTCCCATATTAGTAGAAAAGATGAAGTAATACTTCATCTTTGCCTATGTGACACTTCATCATCAGTAAAGCATTTCATGTCCTTTGCTCAAAATACCAGAGGAAAGCACTATGGAAATAGCAATGGGTTGTCAAACCTAGTTTTGAATCCTAGCTTAGTATTAATAAGATCCTGTGGCTTTCTAAGCTCCTATCTTCCTTTGGCAGTACTAGAGTTTGAACTCAGGGCCTTATAATTGCTAGCTAAGACTCTATCATTTAAATCATGCCTCTAGCCCTTATAACTTCCGTCTTACCTACCAAATACAAGAATGTTCTTCCTATTATTAATGCAGCAGCTACTATACACTATTACAATTAGGATTACTATTTTTTTGTTTCTCAACAAACTAAAATTCAAATTCTGAAACAAAACATTAAAAAATCCAAGTCCTGTTAAGAACATGAGGGGAAAAAAATCTATCTTATAATGGATTTTTTATTTCAAACTCAAGAGCAATAAATCTGCCTGTTTTTATTTCTTTCCTTTCCTTTCCTTCCTTCCTTCTTTTCCTTTCCTTTCTTTTTCTTTCTCTTTCTCTTTCTTCTTTTCTTCCTTTCCTTCAGAAAAATGCTCAGGTAGGGAATCTTTCCAATAAGTGGTATTATATGTTAAAAACAAAGTTAAAGAAAAATTGTAATAAAAATGCACACACAATCCATATATTAATAAAACTGTGGTTAAACATCTTCATATTAAAAGATAACCCAGAGAGCATCCTATTAGAAATGTTTGACAAGTACAATAGAAAAGGAAGGATAAGTAATTGCATTTCATTTACAATATAGTAGAAGTCATTTTTTCCATGTTACTATACAACAGGAAAATTAGAAGGACTATTTCACAGGACATTATAACATAATTATCAATGATTTATGATCTTAGAACTGTTAAAACTGGTTAAATACATTGTTCTTATTATATATTTTAAAAAGTCAATGACTTTAAAAAATTTTTCCTCTTAGGAATCCACTTAGAATTACCACTGTAAAATTCAAATTAGCAGGAGGAAGACACAGAATCAGAGGGGAATAGGAAAATATACAAGGGGGGGTGGGGGGGGGGAGGGGGCATCAGCTGCCCTGGACCTTGAGAAAAATGAACTAAACAACTCAAGAGCAGCAATGGGAGGGAGGGAATGAGAGGGAAAGAGGGAACAGCTTACACTAAGCAAAAGGAAAGAAATGTATATATCACCTCATGTGGAAGAAATAGTTGTATTGTCAAAGCTCATAGAATTCACAAAATTTATAGACCATGATAATGACAATTTGCCTTGTGAAGGTTAAAATGTGTTTGTAACTTTAAGTATCACTATTCCACAATACTGTAAAATATATGAAATTTATGTAATCGTCTAATCTCAATAAAAATTATTTGAAAATAATACAAATTAGCATATCCTTTGGAACAAACTACCAAAAATCTGCCAGAGAATAAATGGAAACAATATGAACTATATTATTTCAATCTGAACCCTACCTAAATTAAGTCTACATATAACTTTTTGTTGATTCTAAATCATATGAACCTTTATTCAATTCCTTTCTCTGAGAACTATCTCTGGATAATCTTCCAAAACTTCCCCTTACCTTAGAATAAATTATAGGCTTCAAAGCATGAATCTTAAAGAACTTTCATCTTTTTCTTTTTTTGTTTGTGTGTGCTAGTCTTGGGGCTTGAACTCAGGGCCTAGGCATTGTCCCTAAGCTCAAGCTAGTGCTCCACCACTTGAGCCACAGTAGTGGTTAATTGGAAATAACAGTCTTAATGGACCTTTCTGCCTGGGCTAGCTTTGAACTGTGATCCTCAGATCTCTATCTCCTGAGTAGCTAGGATAACAGATATGAGCCACTAATGCCTGCCCCCCCCCTTTTAAATTGGCTTATATTAGTAATACAAGAGGATTTCATTGTTACTTCTTCCCATGTTTACTCAATATTTTAATCAATCTCACCCCCTCTAGAACTCTCATTTTTCTTTAGCTAATATATGAGGAGGTTTATAATGATGGTTATCAGCCCAAAATCTTAGAACTGGTCTAACCTTTCTTGTAGAATAATCCACAAATTTTAGGTGTAAATAAAAAAATCTAGAGTCAAACCGTTTAAAAATCAATAAAATAACCTATACAATTTATCAATTACATAGATAGTTGATAGTAATTAAACTGTTTTCTCAAATCTAGTAAGAATGAACTACTAAGTACAAGTTTTATAACATGTAAGTCATGTGGATCCAACTTTCCATTCACAAGTTATTTTTATAATGCTTCTGCTATTCTTTGCTTAAGTATCTCATGAGATGACAGACACTATTTCCATTAAAACTATCCTGAAGTATTATCTGTTACTTTTTACTCAATGTTTAGAACAGTAAGGAAGTGTAGTCATATTAGTCCTTTCTAATGGAGCTTCACTTTTACTTTTTATTTGTTTTTTTAACTTTCCTTTTATTATTACTTAATTTTTTTTTTTTTTTTTTTTTTGCCAGTCCTGGGGCTTGAACTCAAGTCCTGGGTACTATCCCTGAGTTTCTTTTGCTCAAGGCTAGTACTCTACCACTTGAGCCACAGCATCACTTCTGGCTTTTTCTGTTTATGTGATATGGAGGAATTGAATCCAGAGCCTCATGCATGCAAAGTAAGTACTCTACCACTAAGCCACATTCTCAGCCTCAGTTTTACTTTTAAACAAGACTATAAGAACACAGTCCTTTATCATATTGAGGGTAGTTTGTCTGCTTTTGAAAAGAACTGAGAACAAAACAAACCCTTTAAGAGTGGTTTGACTTCAGACTTCTTGAGAACAAACAGGTTGGGAGTCCGGTGGACACAATTCCTAGTACTATGTACTTGTCCCAACACTGATCATCCAAAAGACTTAATGATTGACTTCTCTGAAGGAATATGCAAAGGGCAGGAACTATGTCATTTGGATCTGGACCTTCCAGAGCTAGCTCAGTGCTAGATGAACACATGTGGCACTGCAGCAACACCTAGCAACTACTGATGTCATGATACCAGACTTGCCAGGACCCTACTCCCTAAGTTTTTCTTGCCTTTTTGTTCTCCTTCCCTTTCTCTGTTCCCTCATTCTTCTTCTTCTTCTCTTGATCATTTCCTTTAGCTACAACTGAAACAATTATATTGTACTATATTGAAGTGCCATAGTTCATAGTTCATAGTGACAGTTTCTGTAAGAATAAGATTTAAGCCAGGCATGGTGGCATACACCTACAATCTAAGCATTTAGGAGGTGTTGAAGCCTGAGAATGGTGAGTTTGAGGCCAATCTGGCTACAAAGCAGCACACTGTCTTAAAAATAAACAAACAAAAAAACCCAAAGGCCAAAAAATGTTTAAATTTTACACAGCAATTACAGAAAAATACAAAATAGTTTGTGATATAATTAAATTAGAAATGTCTCCTTAGAAATTAAACTGAAATCTGATCATAAAAATAAGAAAACTATGTAAAGAAAAAAATAGTACCTATGGCAAAAACAATTCTAACTTTCAAAAGTATGTTGGTAATAAAGAAAACG